GTTTACAATCTTAGTATATCTTAGTATATAGTATATTAATATGTACAACTAAAATTACTAATAAAGATATGAGCAAGCCCTCACCTTAATACCAAAAAAAAAAAATAAATAAATTTTTGATTATAACTTATTTTATTATATTTAATCTTACTTCTTCATTTTCTTTATCTTATCTGACATCTTCAATTATTCACATAAACTTTTATAATAATTAAATTCCTCTTTACTGTTAACTCTTCTTTCTTTAATATATTTAATAAATTGCATTTATGCAATTAATTGCCAGAATATTTAAATTAAGAAATTGATTATTATATTTACTCTCATATAAGACTCTGGCAAAGTAACATCATAGCTTATTCATGATATTTTTTCTAGCATGTGACTATAGCTAATTAGATTAAAGGATCAGATGTAATGTAAAAATTATGTCTTTTTGAAAAATCACTATTAACTCGAAATTTTATCTATGAAACTGCCTTTTGTGTTATAATAAAAAAAATTCCTCATAAAATTTTAGTATATGTTATGAGATTTTTTATCCTTAACCCTAATTCTAAAAATGAAGCTTATTACTTTAAAATCTTATGCTTAATTGATTTTATATTACACCTGATCCTTCAATCTAATTGGCCAAAAATCACATGCCAGAAAAAATCTTGTGGGTAAGCTACTAATGTTGGCAAAGTATTCATATCATGTTATTGAGCCTAACTATAGTAATGGAGATGACGCATAAGCACTACAATCAATTTAAATAATAATTGCTATCAGTGCTTGAGCAACCTTCATTCTATTATCACTATCAATATCTTTAAAAAAGAAAAATAGATTATCTATTCAATTCCTAAAACTTAAGCTCCCAGAATATTGGCTTCTCAATAACAACTCTAAATGTTAAATATTAAAACAGTTCATTTTTACATGTAGATCATTTTTTATATTAAATAAATTCTTATTCAAAGGTCAAATAATTTTTTTTACAAAAATTATAAAAATGAGCCAAATATATAACTTTTCACAATATATTGTTGATTGACCTATGATCCGTAAATCATAAGACTAATATGTATATTGAAATCTGATGAAATGGTGAGTCAGTCACTCCACAATCAAAATTCTTGTATAACCTATAGTTGGCTTAGTTGAAAAGAGGTGTTTAGATTTGGTTGATAATTTGGGTCTATAGATAAGTATTTCTTCTTTACTTATTTGGAGTTCTTCAGTCTTGAACTTTCTACTAACTTTATTCTCAATTGCCTTACGACTTCAGGTAATTAAACAACATGTATGATCACAACTATCTTCAATCCTTCAAAATAATTAGATGGTATAACCACAGCTGATCATGGTACTTTAGGATACAACAGCTAGACAGAAATGTACCAATACTATGAGTAAGAACAGATAATTGCAAGAATCAGGGTTTTATGGTCAGGGATTTAGTGATTAGTTAATGTAGTAAAGGAGACATTTTATTATATAAGGAGCTAGTTATATTTTTAATAAAGTGAAGTTCAGGTCTCTTTCTCCTAGAGCCTTCACAGCTTTTATTTATATTATAATTCTTTATTTACATTTAACATTCTATATCTGCTAAGACTGTTACTTCTACTACTTCATTTCTAACTCCTATTTACTTGATATGGCCTTTGTGTCTTATGTAGCCAAAATAGCCTGAGTGGACCAAGTAGTGATGCAAAATGGCTCTGCAGAGTCATAAGCTAATCGGCTTAGCTGCAGCTTTTATCAGTTTGGCTACAGAATGGCTTGGCTAAAGAATAGCACAGCTTATGTTATGTGAGGTGTTTAGAGTCATAAACTGATTACAAAGCTATCGCTAATGTATCATAACTACATACTGTAATTAAAATTAATAATAAACTATAATAAACTATAATAATGATGATATATTTAATAATTTTATTTATTATACAATAAATAACTTTTTTTCTTTACTCTTAAATGTCAAAATGGATCTTAATGACTCTTATTGTAATAATTCACCAGAACCCAAGACCTTTTACAAAATACATCTGATAGCAATATAGCCAGTTCAAGCACAGATGTTACTTTCTTTTCTTTAGTTACTAGAAATAGAAAACCATCTGTAGTCATACTATATTTTTGAAAAAAAATATGACTTATATTAATTCTCTAGTTATTTGAGTTATTTGCAAAAATGAATTCAGCAAAAAAATATTAACAGGCATATTATGCAAGCATCTTGATACATAACAACCAGGATGAAGTACGATTGAACTTTTTGAACTTACGCAAAATAATACAGTTTTAGTACAAACTTTAACTATTAATCAAAAGACATGATTTAATATTTTATTGGCTGAGTGGATTGTTTCAGATACCTTATTCTTTTCAACTGTTGAAAGTAAAGCATTAATTGCTTTGTTATATTTTCTTAATGCCACTCTTGAGTTACCTTCACATGAAACTATCAAGTCAATTGTACAAAACTCTTTTATTTTAATGAGAAGTGATGTTCAAGCCCTTTTTGGGCAAATTTTTAGTAATATTTCAATTACATTGGATATTTGGACTTTCTATGCTAATATGCCTTTTCTTGGTATTACCACATACTGGATCGACAGTAATTGGAACCTAAAAAAAATTTTAGTCGATATGTGCATGCTACCACATTCACATATTAGTAAAGATATTGAAACAAAATTAGAATCTATTTTAACAACTTTTAATATTACTATGAAGATTATTTATACAACTACAGATAGTAAATCTAATGTTATTTCTGCAATTCATTTATTAAACATGCACTTATTTATGTAAAAGTTTCATTTTTATTCATATTATTGTCTTGCACATGTTCTGCATCTCATTGTTATGACAGAAATGACATCAATTAAAACATCTATTGAAAAAGTACATAGATTTGTGAAGGCTATTACATTATCATTCACAATCACCTAAGATTTTAAGGAAATTGGATAATTGGTTGATGAAGATAAAGTAGTTCACAAAATTTCACAAGACATATTAACTAGGTGGAATAGTACTTACCTTATGTTATCAGTTTATATGTCTATGCCCACAACAATAGTAACAGTTATAAGGCATCACAATAATCTTGCTTATTTCAAGTTTACACTACAAGAAGATTCTAATCTTCAAGTTGTTACTTGATTTTTACAACTATTTTACAAAGTTACTAATATACTTTCTGGTAGTACATATGTAACATTGGGACTTTCTATTGTATTAATGAATGATATTGTTGATGTTATTACATTATGTATACAAGATTCCTCAAGATCTTTATTTCTTAAAACTACTATAACACAAATGTTAGAAAAACTTAATCAATATATAGTTTATATATATGATGAGGCAGCTTTTATAGCTTCAGTTCTTAATTCTCGAATAAAACTTGAATTAATGCCAGTTAATATGAACACTCCTGAAAACCGTAACTTTTTTAATCATATTTTTCAAGATTATTCAGTACCTGAACTAAATACTAATATGGTTTCAAATACTAAAAAATTGTCAAATTCAATGACATATATGGAACAAGTGGCTCAAAAATGATAGCGAGCTAATGTTTTAAGTAGTTCAAGCCCAACAGATGAACTTTCTCAATATTTAAGTGAAGTTACCTTACCAATTAGCATTAATCCTATGGAATGGTGGAAACTCAATAGTTTTCATTTTCCAAGCATGTCATGAATAGCTAAAGACTTTCTTGCAATCCAGGCTACGTCAGTGCCTTCTGAACAAATATTTTTAAAGGCAGGTGATACTGTTCAGGCTAAACATGTATGTCTTTCTGAAAAAAGTGTACAAGTACTAATGTCTACTGGCTCATGGTTGGAACACAGTATTAGATTTCAAAGGGATTGATTATTTTTTTTTAAAAAAAATTTTTTTTGATTTTTTTTCTTTTAAAAAAATGTTTTTTTAAAAGTTTTTTTTTTCATTCTAAAAATTTTTTTTAAAAAATTCTTTTAATTATACATTTCTATATTATGTTTTTACATGCTTGCAAATTATGAATTACAGAGGTATTTGTATGTACAGTACATGTATTTACACTAAAATAATTGAAATAAACTTTTTTTACGACGATAACAATATTAAAATTGAAGCCGCTGCACTTGTCAGCTCGGCTAACGAATAGCTCAGCTAAAATGCGGCTCGGCTCAAAAACAGCTCAGCTCCATTATAGTGAGATGTAGCCGAGCTAAAGCCAGCTGTTTGCATCACTAGGACCAGGTTACCCTAATTTGGAGTAGCCGTATTCACGTGCCACGTGACTTCCACAGATAACTGTACACACTAAAACCTTATTCAAATCCCAATTTCAAGTAAATAGTTGTCCCAAATCCCAATCCCAAATTTTGAGTCCTAAAGTTTTTCCATCGAGTATACTGAGAAAGATTTGACGTGAATATTTAATGTACGTACGTACATAAGCTTATTCTACGTATACTTTAAGCTCAGTATGCTTTTTGAGCTAAATAGAGAATTATATCGTTTCACAGTTTGCAATCTAAATATAATCAATCTAGGAAAGATTTACAGAAAATAAAATTATGCGAATATCAACTATAAACGATTGGTTTAAAGTTGCTTTTCAGCAAGCATATATTAAGTTTTTTGACTATGATTCTTTTGACACCATAAAAATAATTGGTAAGGGAGGATTTGGCACTATATTTAGTGCTTATTCAAGTGATACTGAAAAAATTGTAGCTTTAAAGAGTTTATATGCTGAGGGTTCGATTGATGAAGGATTTGTTGGAGAGGTATAGACTAATTTATCATGATTCACATTAATTATGCTGCTTAATATGCGAAATGTTAACGCATTTATTTTAAGATCAATAACTTTACAAAAATTATCATCATGATAATATCATACGATTTTTTGAAATTACTCAAGGTATTTTAATTTCATACAATAAACATATAAACATTAATATCCAATGATGGATATTTTAATGTTAATAAGACCTAAAACTGGAACATACTATATGGCTCTTCAATTTGCCAACGATGGAGATCTTTGATGTTATTTGCATAAGCATTTTTCTCAGTTGGATTGGCAAACTAAAATTAGAATGGCAAAGGAGATCTCAAGTGGAATTAACTGCTTGCATAGGTCGAACATTGTTCATAGAGATCTCGTAAGGGTTTCTATTTACTTTACACCTTTCATATTATGTGTGCATTAATAGATAAAACATATCGAATTTGATTTTATTATTAGCATGATAAGAATATTTTAGTGCACGATGGTAGATTAATGATTACAGATTTTGGTCTATATAAATCAGTAGAAAGTAACTCTAGATCTATTGGTGTTTGAATCTATGCTTATTCTGACCCACAATGTCTCAAGGATTCAACCTTTAAACGAGGAAAACCTTCTGATATTTATAGTCTTGGTGTCCTTTTCTCGGAATTATCAAGCGGTATTCCTCCTTTTAACAAAATGTCAAACCCAGAAATAGTCTTACATGTTGTGGCCCACAATCAGCGAGAAATTCCAATTGAAGAAACACCAATTGACTTTATGAATCTTTATTGTGATGCTTGGAATGTTGACCCATCACAACGTCCTACCATTTCTGAAATCCGTAACAGAAGCTGTTGACAGTGTTCACTACAATGAACACAATATTAAGATTAGTAATGATAATGTCATAAAAAATATGATTTCAATTGGTTAGTTATATTTAATTATTTTATTATTATAAATATTGTTAATAATTCTTAATCATGACAAATTGTAGATATAGAACAGGCTTTTCAAGACACACGCGTTGTTGCTAGTAGTGAAAACTATCGCGTGGACAGGGACGAAAAATCACTTTCAAATTTAAATAAATTATTAAAAATCAATCCATTTAATGCAGAAGCATTACAGAAATCGCGGAATAATCTATCGTAAGATATACGAATGTGACGAATCGCTTAAAGATTTAAATGGATCGTTAAAAATCGAGCCAGATAATGAAGCACTGAATAATCGTGGTATAGTTTATCGAATAAGAAAGTATATGAAGAATCATTCAAAGATTTAACCAAATATTTAGAAATACATGATGACCCTCAGTTTTTTCAGATTATGTGACGATTGACAACAAATTAGCCAATAATTTGATATAATGTTATACAATTAGAAAAATTCAAAAAAATTGTTCATTCTGTTAAAAATCTTTATTTCAAAATTTTATATAAGAACCATTTTTTATGCTCTAATAAAACAAATTCCTTGACCAATTTTATTGTAAGTATCTTTTTCTAATCCTAATTCTAAAACTAACTTAATACTAATTTTAATTTTAACGAATATTAAGTCATTTTGTTGATCATTACATGACTTGAAAAAATAAGTAGTTGTCTTGATAGATTCATTGATCTAATGGAAGTCTATAAACATCTTTCAAGAGCTTGGTAAGACAAATTTAATGACAAAATATATATAAAAGAATATATGACCAACCAGGTTACCAGATATGTTAAAGGAAAAAAAAATACAAAATATATCATACTAGGTTATCTGAATTGGTAGTTTGAAGAAGTTGAGAATAGTCTAAAAGAGACAATAGAGAAAGATAAAGGAAATGTTAGAAAGATAGGTACTAGGATCCTAATAAACTTTACAAAGATAAAAATAGTATAACATAGTAGTTAAATAGATAATCCTTATAACTGCAAGTGTTAAATAACTATAATATGTTGCATAAAACTAAATTAGTATATATGAGATATAGCAGACTTTAGAAAGTCTCTTATCAAAAATAAAATAGTCTTAAGAGTATTAATAAAGATCAGAAACTTGGATAGATAGTATTCTGAAGATGTTTCTATAATACAAGCTAATTATATATGCAGATGATTTAAATAAGCAAGACTTGTAGTTAACTTATAGATATAACATCTAATGTAAAACTCATATAGTAATGTATAAGTAAATTATTTAAATTACATATCAAAAGTATATATGTGTCTAGTTGTAATTCTATATAAGGAAATTTTTGAAGACATCTATATTTTATAAACTTAAATAAAATCATTTTTCAAAAACAGAAACTTTAATACAAAAAAAAAATTAACTAATAAAATTTAATAGTATTAAATAGATTTTTTTTTTGCAAATCCTTTACACAAATCTTAATTAAAAATTCATTTATATAAAAATACTTTTAACTAATTATTTTAAATTATTTTATCTTATCTTTTAAGTAAACTTGTTTAGTACTAAATTTTACATATATTCTAAAAGTTTCAAGTTTTTAAATTTTAAATTTATTGAAAAAATATACTGGTTATTACAAATTTAAACTTATATAACATCTAGTAATATAACATACTTTATATTTTTAATAGAAAATGTAAAGTATACCTATTCAGTTAAAATAAGTTCTAAATAAAAATTTTGACTCAATTAACTAAATTATAATTAAATTTAATTTTTATTTATTTGTAAAAATTTTGTTTATTTTTTGTTTATTATTATATATTTTTTATATAATATAAGATTATTTTTAATTAATATCTAATTAAATTTTATTGCATTTACTAATTTATTCTTAAATAAAAATTCTTTTAATATATTTTATTTATTTTTATATTTAGTTCTTATTAATTTTATATAACTTGTAGTCTGTATTAATACAATACTATACTTGTGATTTATTATTTAAGTTACATTAACTATCCTAATTTTTAGTCATATTTTAGTATTATTTTAATATATTAAACTATACAAAACTATACTAAACTACATTTTATATATATTATAATCTCTGTATTTAACTATTATATTTATAAAATCTAAATACTTATAACTTCATTATTTATCTTTTAATTATTTAAAATGTTTAAAAAGACCTATACTTATAATAATGAATTAAACTGTTATAATATGAATCATTACTATTTTAAATACAAAAATTATCATAAACTTAGTATAAATAAAGATATTTCAAAATTATTTTATGTTCTTTTATTAGATATCAACTTTAATCAATATGAAAGTTTTAAGAAAAAATATTATTATTTTAAAGTTTTTACCAAACTTATTATTAATATATATTTATATATTCAATTTTATATCAATTTTATTTCTTGCTATTATAAAATTACTTAAACTTTTTTTTTGATCTCTTTAATATACAAACTTCATCTATTATTATTGTTAAATATTTTGATAGAATTAATAATACTCTATTTGTATTTTATATTTTTAAAAAAACTTAAACTTAATTTTCTAAATTTACTATTTTTTCTCTTCTATTATACCAATTCTATACCAATTACTATTATTTCTTATTCTAAATATATTTATATATATGTATTATACAAAATTAGAAGTCTTTATTATATATTGTCTTAAGAAAATAAATATTCTTTAAATTATATTACAGCAATTATTTTTAAAACTTAGCTTATCTATTGTATCTGTATTTATAGAATTATTAATATTAAATTATATTATTTTCTTTAAAACAAATCTTTATCTCAAGAATAAAAGAAAATTAAATATATATCCAAATTCATTTCTTTTACCAAAACTGAAAAAAATAGAATTTTTTAAGAAATTTTTATCTAAACTTTCTAAAAAATAATAAAAATATAATACTTTTCAAGATCTTGATTAGTTCAAATTATTTTTAATTATAAAAAAATAGGACTTAATTCAAAACTTAACATTTTACTTATTTAATAACTATTTGACACTTTTAATTTTTTTGTATCTAGAAAAAATTATTCTTTTTAAAAATTCAAATACTTCTTTAATTATTTACTAAAAATAATAATAAAACAAAAATAAAATTTTTAGTTGAGTTTATAAATCTAATCTATTAATTAGTACTTATATTTTAATTTCTATAGAAATTCTAATTAATATTCTAAAACTTATACTTGTCAAATTTTTTATCATCTTTTTTATAAAACTTAATTACAAAAAAATTTTTCAATTTTATTATATATTTCAAAAATAATTTTAAATTATTATCAATCTTGCACATTTATATCTTTTTTTCAATTCTATTTACCAAATTATTTATACAAAAAAATTGCCAAAGATTTAAATATTCAACTACTTCATCTTATTTTCTACTATTTTATTAGTTACAATCTATTTAACAAAGCTTTTTTTCAAATACAAAATGATGAAAAATTAAATATTAATATTTCTTTTAATATTAATATAAAAAAAAATTTTTAAATTTCTTTCTTTAAACTATATAAAACAGTTCTTAAAAATTGTTTAATAAATTCACAAACTATACTCTTTCAATATTATCAAAAACAAAATTCTTAATTTTTACAAATATTAAACTGTTATCAGATATGCTAAAAAATATAAAACTTTTATCATAATCTTTTAATTTTGAATCTATTATATTACTCTAAAAGCATATTCTATTTGCTAGAAAATTTACTCTTTTTCATATTTATATCTATAATAATACTGAAAAATATAAATGTAAAATTCTCTTTTTAAATACTGAACATAATTTTTAAAACCTATTTACCTACTATTTTGATTAATTTTATATTAATTTTTCTGCTCTTATATCTGATAAATTCAATTAAACTATTAAATTTAATCAACCAATATGAACTTAACTACTTTAGACTTTTCAATCTTTCTGAAAATAATAAACATTCAACCTTTTTTAAAGCTCTAACCTCAATCAAATTCTTTTATAAATTTGCAGAATTTATAGAAAAACAATTCATAAATAATAGCAAACCTAAATATAATATTTATAGACAAACTTATTATTTTTTTATGAATACTTTAAAACCTTTCTTCAAACAACAACCTAAAATATTAAAATTTTAATCTAAACTATAACCAAACTATTAAAAAAATTCCAAACCAAATCATTGATTTTCACTTCTTAGTTAGAGTTATTATCTACTTTAAGATATTTAAACAAAATAATATAAATATCTCTATATTTTTTATTTGAAAAAATACAATGAAGACTATTATCTACAAACTGAATTTCTTATTATTAAGAAATTTAAATACATTAACCAGTCACAATTTAAAATCATGATATTAGTCTATACAACTAATGTGTATGTCTGTGTCAAAATGATCTAACTGGCTTGGTTATACGAGTTAGAAATCTCTATGCCAATTTAAACATCATGATCGCTTAATATGGCCTGAAATCGCATATTGCAAAAAAGCCTTGCGATTGACGGGCGCCCCAATTTCCCTACCAGTTAGATGAAACAGGAAATCACTCTTCATCTACTAATCAAATCATAAGATCAGATGCAACATAACATTTCAAAGTTTTTCAAAAACGTCAATAACTTAAAGTTTGTTTACAAAACCACCTTTTGTTTCTAACAAAAAATTTATTGCAAACTTTTAGTATAGTTTACGTTCTATCAGATCTTTATACTGTTTCAACGATACTTCTGTTATTTGATCGAATTAAAATTCTAAGTCAATTTCGTCCAATAAAATAATGACTTCTTTTCATTCAATAGGGAATGGTGGGGAAAATTAGTTAATCCGTGATTGAGTACAACCGTGTTAATTAGTTTTTATTTATTTCCGAGTAGGAGGTAAATTCCCGATAAGTTCCCTCAGGCCCCAATCCAGCGAACTCATGCAGTGGTCACCAAAATTCCGGGTCGACAGGGCCAGAATTAACTAATTTTGCCCAAGATCATTAAAGTTTTAGTAACGCTAATGAAGTCATTGCCTCTCATTAAGTAAAGCTGCCGTGTCACGGGCTAAAAGTGAGATTTCCGAAATGTAATGCTGCGCCATCAATTCAAGTTAAACCGGTTTGAAAGATAGCAATTTCGACAATCGGCCGATGAATGTTCCGCCATGACTTATGAGGCTTATATCATTAATTATGGAATATTCTAGTGACTGTAAGTTTGATGCGAATACGCGAGGCAAAGTACTGAATAGAACCGAATAAAGGTTCAGAATGAAATAGAAACACATAAATTAGTCAAATTACTATTAAATTAAAGAGGGCAATGTGAAAACTTACTTTACAAAAAAGCCCGTTGATAAAATAAATCCGTTAAACTTTAAGAATCTCGGCCGTGAAAGGGTTAAATTAATTATCAAAGCCCCTAACTAGTGATGTGCCATTTATATGATACCTGAAAAATTTTAGCGTACAGTACGTACTGTGCGTATAGTTCTTTTCCTGCATCTGGCTGGAAAAAGTAATCGGCAAAAAATTTAGCGTACAGTACGTACAGTACTCCTAACGCCCTTATCGTATGAAAAGAACTTATATTTCGCTGTTGTAAAGGAATAAACCTTCGGTTAATAAAGATAATAACTTCAAACCTATAAAACTTCCTTTCCAATTCACCATTGTCACGCCTCTGACGAGTATTCTGTAAAAGATAAAAGAATTAAAGTCACGTGCTTACAGTGTTAATCGTACCCCGTAACACCAGCTGATAATTTTGGCCAGACTTGTATTGCTAAATGCCAGCCTAAATCTGATGGACCTGGCCTGGAAATTGGCAAAAAATAATCCAACGAGTGATTCCCCCGAAATGGTGTTATTCTTCGTTAAATATGATATCATGATACTTAACCGGGATAGTAGACAATTAATTAACGAGTAAGATTTGCAATAGGATTGATATGGCTACTCAAAGTTTAACTCCTTTTGAACATTTAATGCACCTTGTTTCTATACTAAAATAATACCTGTACTCTGCGTGGAGTGGGACAAAGTGGAAAATTGGAACATAAACAATGTGAATTAAATATTTAAGTTAGGAACATTCTATTTTCACCGGGTTAAAGTAACCCAAATATAATGATATTATTTAGTTACACAAATGACATTATAGTTTATTGACCCGGGTGAAAAAAGAATTCTAGAAATTAAATATTTGGGTTATATAATTTAGTGCATATGCGTCCTCGTCTGATCTGGTGTAACATGAAATAAAATAAATTAAACAAATTGCTATTTTTCAAAAAAAAACATCGGCTGTAACTCATAATTTTGCTTATGAAGGCACCTTTCGCGTCCTAATAAAAGATTCCTTACAAAATTTTGGTATAGGGATTTTTTTACTAACACTCTACACTAACCTATCCTAACGCTGACCCTTAACGCGTTAGTATGTTTGAATTCACGTTACACCTGATTTTATAAGCTGCGATACAACGCACGCACGCAATATGATAAAATCCTTAAAAAGAATTCTAGAAAGTTAATTTGAAATTCAAATTTTATTAATGTTATTAATATTATTAATGTTTTAAATATTAAATAATTTGAATTTCAAATTCTTTAATATAGGGATGTTAAACCGTTTAACCAGACTTGAAATTAATTATAAATTAAATATATTAAATTATTAGAACTAGTTCAGTTTATAATAACTAAATGGAATATTTCATATAAAGTAAATAATCGAATTTATTAATTGAATGTCGAACAAATAATTTAAGTGTCTGTCCAATTTTGACATAAACAAACTCATTTTGAATATCAGTAACCGACCTACTTAAATGATGCCTCATAAATTATTTCGACAATTATTGATATGCTTAATCATTCAACACACTAGCGAATATTCAGGCTCAAGCTTATTATTCATTGGGCTTAGCCCGATCGGTGACATATATTAACTTACATATTCATACAAGTTCATGATCAAGACTGAGTCCGGCAAATTATAAATAATAAATTCGAATGCAGGTGCCTGGTTTTCTTTTGGCAGTACTCATATGAATTAATACAGTGCTACAATCGTTTACATAACCATGCGATTTTGAAATTTTGGTTTTGTCCTTTGTTCAGAGATTTTACGCATTTGATATTGTGTTCTAATTGTGAGACAATGTTAATTTTTTCCGAGTAAAAAAAAAAAACTTAGTATAATATTGTTTTAACTACCATTTTATAAAGTATAAAAACGCGTTGAATTCCACTTTCAAAAGGTGTTCAATTTCACTTAACCTCTACACTCAAATAAGGATGAAGCATTTTACATCTGTCATTCTCTTCTTAATTGTCGCTTCTATTGGAGCGACTGTCGATGCTATCGTAACGGGAACATATTTTGACCGAATTGTTTTAGTCATGTTTGAAAACACTGGCTATACTCAAGCGATAGCACAACCTTATTTGCAAAATTTAACTAGCCGTTCTAACGGCCTCCTTCTTTCCAACTACCATGCAGTCGCACATCCGTCTCAGGTAAATTTTATTTTTATTTCTTTTAATCTTAAAAATTTTTAAAATAACTTTCTTGTCTTTTAGCCAAATTACATTGCCACTATTTTTGGTTCAACCGCTGGTATCACGGACGATAACAATCATAACGTTTCCGGAAATAATGTAGTTGACCTTCTTGAAACTAAAGGTGTCTCTTGGAAAGCTTATATGGAAAACTATCGTATGTGTATCATGTTTATCACAAAATCTTGATTTATTTATTTATTTACTTATTTAGTTACTTTGAATTCTTATTTGCTTTCTTCTATCATTTCTACCGTTTATAGCTGGCAACTGTTACATTGGTGCTACTGCTCCTTCTGGCCAACATTTATACGCAAGGAAGCATAATCCTTTCATTTCAATGAATGACATAAGAACAAATCCCACTCGTTGTGCTAAAATAGTTCCTGGCACCCAACTTGATACCGATATAAATGCAAATGCAGTACCACAATTTGTCTATTATGTACCAAATCAAAATAATGATGGTCATGACACTGGTGTGGCATTTGCAATGAATTGGTTCCAAGGTTGGCTTGAACCAAAACTTACTAAACCTGCATTTACAACAAATACTTTGATCTTTATCGTTTTTGATGAAGATGATGGTTCTCAAGGCAATCACATTTTTGCTGGTCTTCTCGGTTCTCCCGTTCATCCTCCTTCCAATCACAACGACACTACCTCTTACAATCATTACTCATACTTGGCTACCGTAGAGAAAAATTGGAATTTGGGAAATTTGGGTAGAAATGATGTCAGTGCAACAGCCTTTACTAAATATTTGATACATCCTTAATTTTTATTCCAATCTATATTTACAATGCTGCATGACATATTTAGGATAAACTAATTAAATATTGATAGATAAATGTTTATAATTATCATTTTTATGCATTACCTTCAAATTATTTAAAGATTCTTTACTTGCATAAATTATTCTTAATTCTATTATCTATTCAGCATAAAATAGAAGTAGAATGATTATATTATATTTAGTTAATTTTTTTCAATGTTTGTTTTTTATTGTTAATGTTTATTGTTATGAATTACTTATGTATTTACTTTAAAGTTTTAATAAATTCATAAACTTGGTCCTTTATTATCTATAGTTAAAATAAATTGAACTTTATTTATAAATTTCATAACATATCATCGTAGAATCGCTAAAATATATTTATCAAAAACATTTTCTACAATGTTTTAATATTCAATGTATTCTACTTCATTGTTTGCGTAATTTTATTAATTAGTTAATTGGTTTGCCGTTTAAAAGATTAAGTGATAAATCGCAATTATGAGTATAAATTTCATAGTAAAAATTGGCGGACAATTATTATTACTTTCATATATCGTTGAATTCCGAAAGGTTCTGATGATGTATAAATTCACGTAGTTATGAAGGGAAAAAAATGGCAATAACACGTAATCTAATAATCCAATTTTAATAATTCTACCACGATTAAAACCGGAGTAACTTCCTCTGTAATATATCCCAAGGAAGGTTTACTTGGCGTAAAAAAGCTTATTGTAAACTAAGTAGAAATAATATAATTATATTATTTCCACTTATTTTCACTTCGTGATGCATGAATTTATGAAACGCGCATGGCTCGAAGTACGCAGAGTTTGTAGATCATGTGTGGCTAAAAGTATTGTATAAGTGCGAGTAAACAGCATAGACAATAACTTCCAATTCAATACTTTCTTGAACCAACGTTTAGCTTAGACGAAAGGGGCGGTTAGATTTGGCTAAGTGGTTTGGTTCCTACGTGTAAGTATATCACTAACTATTTTCTCTTCTATATCACGACCAATTCGGTTCGTTGAATGGTCGGAAACTCTTGGTGAGGCAGTATACATCTTATTCCAATGATCACGGCTTTACCACTGTACGTCGAGTCTAAACTGGAAGACAAATCGGATATCGGGTTCGAAGTCACGCGCGCAAGACAAGAGTCTAAACTTACAATGTACTATAACGGGTCGGGCAATGTAAAAGTTTTATATTACTATAATAGTGTAGGGTAGTTTTAGAACATTTTGAATAGAATAAAATGTAATGTTTATAAGACCGTTTAAGTGTGAGGCACAAATTTTATTTTTTTATAATAAGTGAAGAGCCCATTATATATATTTTTCTGTACATATGTGCAAATTAATTTAATAAAATTGGTTTATTCCATTTACCTAGAGATGTGATCCGTTGATCAACAACCTGGATAACTGTTTGAAATCCGTATTTTTGTGTAATCCGTATCATCCGGATACATATTTTGTATAATCCGTATGCTATTACAGACCGGCTACTCGAACTACTACTCGAACTACAATCAACTGTAGTTAACTACTCAAACTATAGATAACTGTAAAAGCTAACTATGGTTAACTATTAAAGCTATAGCTAACGATTAAACTTCTACATATAAACTATTGAATCTACAAACAATTGAATTTAAGTTAGTGAGACACAATACAAAACTCTGTCTGAGTCTATGTCTTAATAGATATATAGAATAATCGACAATGTATTAATATAATTGGACAAGCTATAATAAATATGTACTAATAAAGATTAGAGGGCATGTCCTCACCTTGACACTGAAAAAAAATAAATAAGTTACTTATAGATGCTTATAAAAATAATTATAGAATGTCAGCTCTAATAAACATAATATAACAAATTGATTTTCATTGTACCTTTTTTATAACTTATTTTGCTATATTTTATTTTATCTATTATTATATTTGATATATTTTATTATTTATCTTTTTCAAATTGTCTATAATATTATTATTGTATACAAATGAATAAACTATATATTATGAAGAATTTACATATCACCAATCATATGAATTATCTTATTAATAGAAATTAAAGAAATTAAAAAAATAAGCTTTTAACTAAAAAGCAATGTTGTGAGCTTTACAAATTCCTATAGCTTTTTGATGATTATTTCTTGCGGCATCTATCAGCCATTTCTCCCCTTCAGCTTTATTTTGATCGTTCCCGCTCAATAACAAAATAGTTCCCAAGTTATACATTGCTGTATGATTCTTATTAATTGCAGCTGATCTAAAGTATCGAATAGCCTCCTCCTTATTTTGAGGAACTCCTTGTCCAGAGTAGAGGCTAAAACCGTATCTTAATTGCGCATCATGATATTCGGCATCTGCCGATTTTTTATAAAGCATCATTGCAGCTTGTAAGTTTGTTTCAGCTCCTTCTGCAAATTCATCAACAGCATCGTCGTAAAATCTTCTTAAAAAAAGTTTAGATGTAGTTAAAATGTCATATTGGAGGTAAAATCCAATCCAATAAAGTGCATCTTGATTTCCTTTCCTAGCACAATATATGAAAGTTTTCCAAGCTTCAAACATGTTACCATTTGGTAAATTATGCTGTTGAGTTGCTTCTTCGAACGTCATTTCAGATGACACGTCAATACGTTCTTCTTCCTCTTCCTCCTCCACGCGTTCTATACCGTCAACAAGATAATCTCCAAATGAGTTCCAAGAATGTGTTCGTAAAATATTAGCATCACTGACCATAGGTTTTCTTTTGTCAGTGTAGATTACGCACCACTTTAGGACTGTATTTTCTTGAACAGTTTGTTCTATTTCATCATCAAGTTCATAAATACCACTATCAGAAGCGTTATCATCAAATCCATCATTATCATCAAATTCATCATTATCAAATCTACCGTTAAAATTTTCTAAATTAAGATTTAATTGGTCTTTTGTTATTTCTAGATTAATTCTAGCTTTGTCCCAAGTTTTAGGTTTAATGGTATAAAAGGCAAATTTGTCTTTGGATACGATTGACGTTATCAGAACACAGTCCGTTGTAAGATCTTTACAGCTTAAACAAACTTCCAATGGAGTTTCGTTGACGGGGATATTTCCATAAAGAACTTTAACATTTCTATTTTTATTGCTACAAAATCCTTTGGGAGCAGCAAGTACGAGCCAAAGTAATTTTGTTTCTTCTTTGTTTAGTCTTTTATAATTCATTTCGTAAAATTAATAAAATTAATAAAAAAAATAAATAAAATAAAAACAATCTAAATGCCTACCGTATATTGAAATCTTTAGATTTATATATATACGCTACACAACTGCTTTTATTCTGATGGTCGAATCGAACAGATAAATCAGGATGTTGGTATTTTCTCCAATTTCCACTTTCGTCTTTCTTTACGACGACTCCAAAAATATGATAATTGTTGTCATTAAGTGGACCAGGGAATCTAATAACAAAAGTACTCTGATCATCCATCTGGAATAATTCTTCTCCATTAAAAACAATCTGATAATGACCAAAAGTATTATCAATATTAGCGCTTGTTCTGCGCAATAACTTATATAGTGGTGTCCAGTCTTCATAAGCAACAATGCACCAATTTTGACTTGCATTAATATCCTGGAAATCTTCAATCCAAGGCTTAATTCCATTGCTGTTAACAACATCACCGTTGTTGTCAATTAAAAATGAAGTGTTCACTTCAAACTCTTTTTCCCAAATTTTCAACTGAGAATTAATTTTCTCAATTATTTGAGGATCGTCTAGTTCATATTCAAATTGAATTTGTCTTCCAGGTATATTTTGCTTTGTACGTGGAATACATTTTTTCGATAAAATTCCACCTACGGTTAAAGTCCTTGCTAATAAATGGCCGTAATCATCTCCGAATATTTTACAAAGATTTTTAAAAGGCTCATTACTTTGAAGCGCCGCATTGACGCTATTTGAATATCCCTGTAAGGATCTGATATCCGTAAGGCTAAAGGAAACTTTTGCCATATGCATAATTATTTGACAATAAATTGCCTGAGAAGGTTGATTTTTAGCAGATTTGAAATCCTCCAAGGGGTGATGAAGTATTGAACTGTATTCAGAAAAGGGGATATTTTCAAGAGTTAAATTACCATTATCTTTCCAGATTATGCCGTTTTCTAATAAATAGGCTTCTTGACGGTTTTGTGGTGCTGTTAATCTAAGAGTAATTTTTTTAATTTCGGTAACGGCAGGTACCTTTACAAACTTAAAAGTGGCCTTTTTTCCGTGTCCAATATCTGATTTTTGTAGAACAACACCATATTGGAGTGAATTGTTGTGGATAAAATCCAATAAAAATAGTTCGAGTGAAGGTTTTAGTGCTATCCATGCACTAAGCTCCTTTTTTTTATAACTAATTGGAACGTTAGGAATTAATTCTCCATCAGGTGTATTAACAGGATTACCACCAGTAACCTCAAATAACTTTTCTTGTAATTTATTCGGTAGTAATTTATAAGATGGGATTATTTTTCCATATGCTATGATCTTAGCAAAATCAAAATTGTATAAGCTTTTAAACCAGTTATACAAGTCACCAAGGGTATCCATCTCCCCATCAGCTTGAAGTGGTGGTATGTTGTCAAGTGGTACATCTTCGAAAATTTCGGAAGTCTTCCCTTTTCCGCAATCAATTGCCCATTGTAAATAGTTCCTTAAATATGATTTTTCTTTATTAGATACGGTTTTCCAATTTCTAACTGTGATAACGCCACCAAGTGTGAACTTTCTGACAACGTGATTACCATAATAATTAAAATATTTTTCTAGCATCTTTACTTTTTCAGTTTTGTCTGAAATTTCAAGTGCACTCTCTATATCCCTAATAAATTTATTAGAAGCAGTAGATGTATATTCTACTGTTGAAACTGGAACATGAACCTGTATTTGATTACCGTCTCTACTATTTGCAAATAAACCTGTAACTTTACCCCACATTGAATCTGTAGTCAACGAGT